CTATCGTTCCATAGTTTTTTCCTGTGTCCTACCATCGGATGTGTCTTTACAACATGAGTTATGATGGACCTCAGAGGTACACTTGACGCAACTGTTCTGAGCTCCCGTTTTTCAGTAGAATTTCATATGTCACACAGGATCTTCCTTCTATTTTTCGAATTGAGTTGTATTCTGCAAAATATTTGAAACGTCTATTTCGATTTCAAGCGTCACTGTTGAGCATTTTAACATTCAGTTAGTTTCGACTCATTTCGTGATGTGCAGTATCCTATGTTTTATGAGCTTGAGACAGTTGAATCATGCATGGTCGTATGCATGGATCTCTTCAACCTTAAACCATCTTAGAAAGTACTCTTGTTTACGTCTTAACAATGTAGAAAAGCAGCTAATTGCGACTGATATTCACGGATCCCAACTATGAGCTGAAGTCAATAAGGAATGGTAAATGTGAACCGATTCTGAAGAGAAGAGGGTTTAAACATTAAAGAGTCTCAGCTTAGTTTAGAAGGTATAATGCTAACGTCCATTTTTTCTGATCATGATCTATTCTCCATTGTGGTCCCGACTATAAGTGTAGAATAGGAACTAAAACTAAATCTTAACTGTTTTTGGAAATGAACCATTTAAATGTTAGAGATTTACAGCGTAGTGGAATAAGAATCACCTTGACGTTCAGTTTGTCTGGACGTGATACATTGCGAATCGCGGTTCCCGATTGTGAGTCAGAAATGATAGAAAATTGTTAATGTGAAATGATTTCAAGAAATATATCATTTAAACGTTGAGTTTTTCGGACGTGGCGAAGAAAAGGATCGTTTTAGCGTCCATTTTTACTGACCGTGACCGGTTGTCAATCGAGGTTCCCGACTGGCAGTCTGAAACGGTGGGAAATTATTAATGTCAAATTGTTTCAAGAAACTTGGCGTTTAAACGTTAAGTTTTTCTGACATAGTGAAAAAAAGGATCATTTTAACGTCCATTTTTACTGACCGTGACCGGTTGTCAATCGCGGTTCCCGACTGGCAGTCAGAAACGGTTGGAATTTATTAATGTCAAATTGTTTCAAGAAACTTGGCGTTTAAACGTTAAGTTTTTCCGACATAGTGAAAAAAAGGATCGTTTTAACGTCCATTTTTACTGATCGTGATCGGTTGTCAATCGAGGTTCCCGATTGTGAGTCACTAACGACCAGTATAAGTGAACGTGAAAATGATATTGTATTGATGAAATGAAAATATTCAAATTTCATTAAGCATGAAAAAGAGACCGTTTTCACGTTCACTTATACTGGTCGTTAGTGACACACAATCGGGAACCTCGATTGACATCCTGACACGGTCGAAAATCTCTGCGCGTTTAAACGCGTTTTTTCATTTTTTTGTCTGCCTGGGAAGTATGGATGTAGCTACAATTCATTTTGCTTCGAGGATCAAGAAATTAATAAATGCATAATGAAAAGCATATAGAAAAGAACGACAAGAGTATTCACATTGATTAATATTACTTTTTATTCCATACATACTGGAGCCCTGAATCAAACTCTGAAACTCGACCTAATTAAATTGCGGAAACGCCAAAACCTTCATACTTTTTTCCGATATAGCATTTGTATTTGATAAGTGGAACGCCAAGTAAACGAAAATGGTCAATCAAAAAATCCAAATAGCATCAATAGAAGCATAAAACAAGAAAAGAGAAAAAATATCCAAACTAAATTAACTTTCGCAATTGATTATTAACAGAAAATAACATTAGTACCGTTTATTTTCTATCCTTCCTTCCTTAGAAATATTTTCCAAAACTTCCCAGTGAAAAATATTCACTGATTTTAATCGAAATTTTCTGCAACAAAATCAAAATTAAAATCGATTGATAATTTTGATTATCGTTAATCATGACTTAACTATTACTTGATATTGTCACTTATCCAGTGCGAAATTTTCTGATTAAAATTAGATTATTCCGCAGCAAAGTCAAGATTATAAATGGATTAATAATTTTGATTTTGTTGCAGAAAACTCCGGTTAAAATTCGTGAATATTTTTTACTGGGTTCGTATACTGTTTTAATTGAATGCTCACGCATCATTGCAAATCAATGAAAACTTTATCTTTTTGTTGGAATCTTATTAACGTGACGCACCGCTTTCAATAGAACTAAACCTTCTTTTTAGAAAATATGATTTTATTAAGGTTTTCGCCATCTGAACTCAATATACACTCACTAACATTACTTTTTAGTCATGAAAAACGACATCCAATCATGGTTTCTGATACTGGTATGCTATAGAATTATCTAGCAATAACATATGTGGTTGTAGAGTATGCGTGTCACATATGAGTGTGATTTGAGTTCAAGTTTGAGGAAGAGCCACCTACCTTCACCCTTCAACATCATCAAGAATTCTTTTCAATTCTCGACTTGTGTCTTTGCTAAAAATGAAATTTACTATGAAGAAATCCATTATGACTGATGATAATCACTCTTTGTGAAAAGTATGAGAGTTTGCACAGGATTATTTCGTGAAAAACATACGTCATTAGATAGAACTTTTGTCGGCTTTTATCAAGGAGGATCAACCATCAGGCAGATCTTGAAAAACAGAATCATGTCACGTTTTATATTTGTTGGTTTTTTATTTCATTTCTATTCCATGCGCACTTTCATGGATAGCCAACCACAACAACGCACAGATCTAAAAAAGTATTTTGATAGATCACAGTTTGTAGGTCTTTTTACGCTGATCATTTCGGTAAGAGACTTGTGGGTGTGTGTGGCTGAGTTCTTGATTATACCTACACGAAAATTGCACACCTGTACCCACACCCTCAACACTGTTGATTTGCTGCGCGATTAGATGGTTCTAGCCTTGCACATTTTTTCTCGCTTTAACTCTTTCACGAACGATGGTACATATACGTGCCATTCTTTTGTTTTTGGTTAGAGAACTACAATAAATTTAGGAATAATGAAGGGTGTGGGTGTGAGTGTGGATGTTTTCTTCTCGTAACCCCCGCCCCCGCTCACATCCACACACTGAAGTATCCTTGTTAAAAGTAGTGTTAGTGTTCGATACTGTTGAGCGTGAGACTGGTATCTCGCCACTGAAAGGGGTGGCACCTCCATCAATCAGTGTACTAGAATGATGTTTTCGCGGTTTTTCCGAAAAAGCAGTGTCGTCAAAAGTCGTCATTTTCTGTAACGTTTTGTCGTCTGCTACTCTAGTTTGAGCAGCAAGATCAGACTGTAAAATAAAACTGTCTGGAGGATTATTGTGAATCAATTGAAAGTCATTTTTATCAAAGTATGATAATAAGATTTCATAGAAAGGGTGTGGGTGTGGGTGTGGGTGTGGGTGTGGGTGTGGGAGTGGATGTGGGTGTAGCTAAGTGCTTCACCCACACTCACATCCGCACACTAACACCCACACCCGCACCCACACCCTCTTGATACACATTTTCTGAAAATTAAATCAAGACTGAAGAACTATTTCCGTCTTAATTCACCTTGAATAGTGACTCACGTTATGATAAGTTTCAATTCAGTTCACTGAACGATAATCATGAATGTTGAACTTTGGACGTAAAAGACTTTTGAATTCGATCAATTTGAAATAGAACAAGCTGAATAGTCACAAACAACGAAATCAATATCAATCTTGATGTCGAACATTCTGCATATATTCTCAGCAAATTCTTACAAAAAAAATGAAATAAAATTATTTCTTAAACAATTCATATACAGTTATTGGGTCATGATGTTGCACTATCGGATTGTCTTTTAAGATCGTCTTATTACGAGTGAGTAATTGATAACTATGCATAATTTAACCTTTTATTCAAGACTTCTAGCTACTGAGAAAAACAGTCCAAATCATTTCGAAGAAGGACTCTTCTCGAAATCAATCATTCTATTCTTTTTATATCTGTCAATCAATCGATTCTCAGTCATATAAATATTGTTTTCTCTTCTCATTCTCGTAGAGAGATAAACCAAACAAATTGATGACAAACACTACATTATTCATAAAGATCCATTCGCAATAAATGAATATTGATATACATAGGTATTTTCAATGATTTGTTGACTGACAATGGAATATTGTTGATGAATTAAACATTCAGAGATTCTCAATTCCTTTCTTTTCTATAAATTCGAAACTTAATAGCTATGATCATCATGCAATAATGATCAATAAGATCTACATCGACGTCACTTCGTAAGAGACATATAAAGATGGAACATAAGTGAAAGACAGAGGATCAATATTACGAAAGAATAGCACATAATCAATCATGTGATGTATCCTTAGTGTGTGGTTGTGGGTATCGGCGTGGTTAGAAAGTAGCTCACATTAACACCCCCACTCACATTCACAGCCTGTTTACCTAAGTACATAAAATGTATTCTCAAAAGTTATGATACGGTTCTACTTGCTCACAGCTCTTATTTTGCGTGTATGTGGGTATACGTGCATGGTTATTCGTACGATTCTTGCCTACGTTCATATCCACCTACACTCACATCCTTCGCTTAAGAATTCAAAATGATGAGTGTTTCTTTGACAGATAGTGAGATTAGGAATACATTTAAGAACGTTTAAGAATATATAAGTCGTGAAAAGAAAGAAAAAACAAGTAAAAGCAGCAAACAATGCTTTTCTTTTGTATCTAACAACGAACCGAAGAGTTTCGTTTTATCTCCGTGTTTATGACATCATTGGTTAAACAGGTAAAGAGCTCCTTATCTTGCTAAGTTACAACATGTGTCGGTTGCAACAGATAATGATACACTTTTGGTCTATGTCACATTACTTACTATATAATCGACGTTTTTTCTGCATTCGATAGTTATTCATTTATCAATCACTTCATTATTAACCATTCATACCTGATAGAACGGCTGATACACTGGTTAATTAATTTGCTTCGAAGAGTGCAACTATATCAACGCCAAACATGAAGGAATTCAATGTAGATGACTCTGCTCCAGTGAAAGTAATGAGCTGCAAGTTCGTATAATGAAGCTAAAGAAAATCATTTTCATATGTCATTGTCAATATAGAAAACTAGGTCCTCGGACGAAAGGTCTTCTTGTTCTACTTCTAATCGCAGTTGTGGCAATCGCTGTGACTGTTCTGGCCGTTCTCTTAACTCGGCCGACAACAAAATCTTCAACTACTTCTTCGTCCATTAATTCGTCTAGCGCTCCAACAACGACGGGTGTCACTTCGATAGCTACAACAACAACAACAACTCCGGGTACTACTTCGACAGTCACTACTACTGTAACAGAATCGACGGGTAAGATTCGATCACAGGAGAATCTGTTCTTCATCTATGTTTTTTTAGCATCAGTCACTTGTGCATCAGAGCTGTGGGCGAACAGAAGATTGTCATCTACAGTGACATCCTAATCAGATCTCGATTGATGAGTAGTCAGTCAAACATCTCGTTTTAAATTGTTATGAAGCTTTCCTCTATTCATATATGATTGACTGAGAAAGATTATTTGAAGCAAAACTTCTTATAATCAATCTCACGTTCTATATGGGTCTTAGGATCGTTCACTGTCTCTATCGTTTCAGAATCTTAAATTACGCTTGTATTAAAATTAATTGAATGGATACTCGAGTCAACCTGCAATCTATTACTCACAGATGGACGGGGTCATAAATTAAATGTAGAGAAACTTGATTCTACCATTCAAAAGACAACGATCAGTTGCATTTAAAATGGAAGCGTTTCTATTTCTGAGCAGATATGAGTATGACATATGTCTTGATTAATATACTATTTTGAATTTGAAAATCAGAGAACTTTGAAGAAATTGAGAAAAAATTCATATTTTTCGATACATTTTATATTTCTCGATAATAGCTACTTGAGATTGTACATTATCGAAAAATAGATTAATCAATATCGGTGATATATTGACTAATTTTTCTACTCTAAGATCAAGAAATACATGCAACAAAATTGAAATTTTGCTTTACTATATAGAATGTTAAAAGTTTTTTCACTTAAAGTAAGGAAAAATTCATCATTGCGCAATACTTTAAAAGGCTTCACTTACACATAAGAAATCTTGTGTGTTAAATAATACTTCACTTTTCAGCTAAGTATGTTTAATTGGTTCTTTTAGTATGGCGTAACACTGGTAGTATGAATAATGGACGATTTTCGCATACAGCATCTGTATTACCAAATGGGAAAGTGTTAGTTATTGGTGGAGAATATGATGTTGACTTTGATCTAAATACTACTGAATTGTATGATCCATCAACAGAAACTTGGTCAACAACTGACAGTATGAATAATGCACGATTTTTACACACAGCATCCATATTAACAAATGGAAAAGTGTTAGTTACTGGTGGACAGAACGGTCATTCAGCTATAAATAGCGCTGAACTGTATGATCAATCAACAGGAACTTGGACAGCGACTAACAATATGAATAATGCACGACAGTGGCACACAGCATCCATATTAAACAATGGAAATGTATTAGTTACTGGTGGACAGATTGGTTTTTCAGCTATAAATAGCGCTGAACTATATAATCCATCAACAGAAACTTGGACAGTGACTGATAGTATGTATATGGGTCGATATCGACATACAGCATCCGTATTAACAAATGGGAAAGTTTTAGTGACTGGTGGATTGGCTGATGAGTACCTTTTTTTCTATGGTGCTATATTATATGATCCATCAACAGGAAATTGGACAATGGCTGATGGTATGCGTCATGCACGAGAACGGCACACAGCATCTGTATTACCAAATGGAAAAGTGTTAGTTACTGGTGGATGGAATGGTAGTATTGCTCACAATACTGTTGAATTATATGAACCATCAACAGATATTTGGAGAACGACTGGTAGTATGAATATTGGACGATTTTCACATACAGCATCCGTATTACCAAATGGAAAAGTATTAGTTACTGGTGGACAGAATGGTCATTCAGCTAAGAATAGTACTGAATTGTATGATCCATCAACAGAAACTTGGCAAATGATTAGTAATATGAATTATGCACGAGAAAGCCACTCAGCATCCGTATTAAAAAATGGGAACGTGTTTGTTGCTGGTGGACTTGATCGTATTGGTCTAAATACTTCAGAATTGTATGAATCATCTCAAATAAATCAACAATGAATAACTTTATGTTTATAAGCACATGTTGTTTAGCATCCAAATATTAATTTCATAAAGAAAATTATAAGATTTAAATGATAATGAATAGTTTTCTTCGATTGTTTTTATTAGATTGTGAAACATTGAAGAATTCGTTTTAAAATATCAAATTATTTTTGATTTTATGTTTAGATGTGTTAAACTTATTTTGACAAGAAACTTTCAGTTCATATAATGATTTTAATCCGTTGAAAGTATTTTATTAAATTTTCAATTCATCTTTCGTTCAAAAATTTGATTTTCTTTATATCAGTCATTAGTATTCTATCAAAATTTCGACTAATATTGATCAAGTGAACTTTCACTTGTTTCTTATAAATTTTCAGAGGTTTTCCTTTTCAGTTGAAGAAAGATGGCAATTTCTTGTTCTTAATGTGTACAAGAGTAAGTTTTATTTATATATTGGAATAAGTGACTTTTTTTATTCAGTCCATGTATCGTTGGATTATCGTTGAACTATAACTTTTTCAAAGAGTAGTTGGGATAAATGAGAGCATCAGTTAAACACAGAATTTCTTAGCTATTCTTCTTTATTTTATTTGCTGATCGAATAAATCAAAACTGGGTTAAGAATTGAACTAATGAGTGAAAATGTCTTTGGCAAAGATGGGCATCCATATTGAACACAATTTATAAGACTTTTTTCAAATAAAATAGACCTCGTTGTCATTAGACACATATTTTTATATAAGT